GATGCCACCATTTGCCGGTGGAGAGCTGCAAATTTTGTCCCTTACTCGGCACTCAGGGCCATTGAGCAGGGAGGGATCTTTTTCGTGCCAGCACCTACTGCGACACGGGACCTCGGTCTCATCCGAAGGACCGGTCTCCACGTCCTGCAGTGGGATCCGAACCCGCGACGAAAGGATTGTGTCCTTACTTCGCAACTCTAGAGCAGACGCTCTAACCACTGCGCCACGCGGGCGACCTGTGGTTGCGAGACATTGGGATTTGAAAATGTAAACATTATTGAGAAACTTTGTAAACTTATACTGCATCTTAAGGCATCTACTCCATATGGTTTATGGCGAGCTTGGTAGATATCCACTGAGTCTAAATATAAAATTGAGAATGACAAAATTGTGGGTAAAACTGTTGACATGTAAAGAAACAAAATTATGTCACATTTTATTTATATATTTTTATTATTTTTTGGTCACCCGAGTCACTCAGGTGACCTATTGCTATCTGTTTTCGTCCGTCGTCGTTCGTCGTCAATCGGTCGTAAACTTTTGAACATTTTCAGCTTCTTCTCTGCAACCACTGAACCAATTTCAATCAAACTGGGCACAAAGCATCTATGGGTAAAGGGAAACAAAAATCTTAAATTTCATGATCCCTGCCCCCCTGGGGAAATCGTCTTCTGTGCTCCTGGGTATTAAATAAACTAACTAAGTACATAACTATTATGAGCAAGAGTTTCTCTACCTAAATTGTGAATTTTATGGCTCCAGGGTCAGGGGTTCTGGTGTTAGGGAGGGGCTCTTTAGATTATATAGTGAAAATACATGAATTCTTAGAAAATCTTCTTCTCTGCTCCTAGGTTTTAAATAAACAAACTAAGTACATAATTATGATGAGCAAGAGTGCCTCTACCAAAATTGTGAATTTTATGGCCCCATGGTCAGGGGTTCTGGTGTTAGGGCGGGGCTCTATTGATTATACATGTATAGTGGAAAAACATTAAACTTTGAATATTTTCTTCTTTGCTCCTGGGTTTCAAGCAGATGAACTACCTATGAGCAAGGGCCCTTATCTTCTATTCAAGAATTGTAAATTTCAAGGCCCCAGGGTCAGTTGCACCATAGAGGTGGGGATGGCTGTACTTATATCTGAAAATGAATGAATTGTTTGAATTGTGCTCCTTGGTATTAATGAAATATTTTTGAAAAGCAATGATGCCTTTCCAAAAATTTGTGCAATGTGTGGATTAAGGCCTAAGAGTCAAGGATTCAAGTGTGGTAGTGGTACTACTGATTATTGCTGAATATTACTGATTTGTTGAAATGCATTTTTTGTTCCCCTAACCTGCCTATGGGTATTAAGTAACCAAACTAAGGAACTGCTAAGTGTATAGTTATGATGAACAAATGGTAATTGCTATAGCATCTGGCTTAAAACATGGATCAAATTGAATCACTAAAATGTTGAATAATGCTCAGGTGACCTATAAGGTCCATGGGAGTAGTATTAACCGTCTAGGTAAGGCGGAAGTGACATCATAACCGGAAGTGGGCGGAAGTGGTCTAGCCGGAAGCGGAAGTGGGTTAACCGGAAGTGGGCCCAAGCGGAAGTGGGCGGAAATGTCCCTAGCCGGAAGTGATAGCCTGGTCAATATGTAGGACATTATGCAAATGAGGTTCAAAAAATGGTGGATTCTGATTGGCTGGGAGGATAAGGGTGGTCAACTCAGTACAATTCTTGGGGGATAGGTGGGTGAATTCATTACATATAGCCCCTAAATACGGGGTGTTTACACTGTGTTTACATTATACTATATACGCTGCTACTACGACTTGTTGCATCATCTTTTTTATACCTGTTGCATCATCTTTTTTTTTTATACCTGTTGCATCATCTTTTTTATACCTGTTGCATCATCTTTTTTTTATCTGTTGCATCGTCTTTTTTTATACCTGTTGCATCATCTTTTTATACCTGTTGCATCATCTGTAAGGGGGCCGTGTGCAAAACATTCGATAAACCTACGTTACACAGGTAATACTTGGCAGCCATTCAAGTTATACCTTTACCTACGTTTTCTACGGGGGGGGGGGGGGTATAAATGAGAACAAAAGTCTGGTCCTTTCTTTACAATCGACTATCATGTCAACCCTGATACACACTCACTCTCTGATTTTAGATGGGTATGATTGTTTAGTACGATGGGCACAAAATCACCAAGAATCTCTACCCCCGGAGGCAGAACAAGTATTTCAGGAAGCGAGCACTATTATGGAAACCCCTCAGGATTTATGGTTACAATGCCTAGCCTTATCACATCATGCGACGACCATGGGGAGACTAGCTACCATACATTTTCTATGTCGACATAATTATGAAAACAATTCTGCCCCAGAAATGGTACGGACTGAACCTGACCCGTTATTTCGGAAACCCTTACAGTTTCCTGACCCATCCCCAAGCAGCCAAACTGATTTTACTGTGGCAGAACATAGATGCAATGGAGAAAGTATGTATAGGTTACATCATAGAAGCCGAGTAGTATTAATTATATCGTTTTCATGAAAACGATATAACCAATAGTACGAGGCATCTATGATGTTAGCAACTTGTCGCATGTCTGATGACGAAAATTTCATTGAGAGTGTCAAAATTCAATAATAATAAAAGGATTCATTTCAAGCTAGCTCTCCAACATGTCGGACGTTCTTAGTGAATCTGACTTTGAGTTTTTAACTGAGTTTCAAAAGATCGGCTAAGTCAAACAGTTTTTTAGGGTCTCTAACACTCATTTTTGGAAAGGCTGCAAGCTTTGCCTTTAACGAGGCCTCAACAATTTCTGGACTTCCATATTTGTCGTTAAGTCTTTCCCATATTTTCTCGACTCCTCTGCTAGGATTGTGTGAGTTTGCAGCACGAATGCTAACTGCATACCTGGAGGATTCAGGTCCCAAATACTGCTGTAACAAGTCTAGTTCTTCGAGAGGTGATACTTCAAGTTCTCTAAGAACACTCTGAAATGTAGTCTTCCAACTAACAAACGTTTCAGGAATGTCCATGAACTTTGACAATCTTAATTTTAAAATGTCTTTCTTCACTAGAAATTTGGTCATCTCAGACAAAAACATTTGTTGTGTTCCAGGTTGTACAGAATGCGCATAAGAATGTTGTTGCACAAATGGTTGTTGTCGATTGTTCATAATTGCTGTGTTGCAGAGGTAATGGTAAGTTGTACACGTGTTGCATATCACTAAATGTACTAGGTTGCACTGAATGAAAATGCATGTCAGGGCATTCTGGTTTGAAATGCACCGATGACTGATAGCTGTTGGGTTGAACAAATGTTTGAAAAGTTGGATGCTTCATGTGCGACTGTACACAGGTTCATGGTGTGTGTTATATGGTAGGGTCACAGGTAGTGTGACAGGTTGTTGCACTGAAGGTTGTTTAATTGTTGTCTGAGTTGCTGGAACACTTGTTGTAATAGCACGCACAAGTTGCTCAGAGGATTGTTGCTCAGTCGCTAACACAGTTTGTTGTTCGGAGGTTTGTTGTTTGGCAGTTTGTCGTTCAGCCCACTGTTGTTCGGAGATTTGTTGATTCACAGTTTGTTGTTGAGATTTATGTTCATTGATTGTTTGTTGTTGAGATTGTTGTTGATTGTCAGTTTGTTGATGAGATGATTGTGAATCAAGTACTCCTTGAGATGAGTTAGGCTGAGTAATGAGTAGTTGTTCTGCATGCTGTGTGATGAATGGCCGTTGTTCTGCGACATAGCGTTCTGTTCTTTCTTGAGGGTCCTGCTCTTCATAATTTGATAAAATGTCAAACTTTCTGGAATTTTCCAATTCATCTTCAAATACCTTAAGTTCAGCTTCGGCCACACTCAGGTTCTTTTCCGCATCTAGAACATCCATGTTAGCTTGAATTTCCGACTGTCGACGTTGAATTTCTGCCTTGACCTTGACTTCATTTTCTATCAATTCAGCTTTTATTTTCTTCAATTCCAATTGTTTCTTCTCATATTCCATCTGAACTCTCGCTGCTTCTGCCTTTGCCTTTCCCTTCAATGTCTCTCTCTATTGTATAGAGGTGTGAAGTTTGTTTTTCTACTGATTTTCTGTATATTTCCGTACCTGTGCTTGTCATTGTTCTGATTCGCTTTTCGGTGTTTGGATTTTGTTGATCATCCGCTTGCCTATTCATTGTTCGATTGTTGATAATCCCAGGAATTTTACTGTACTGTCTCCATAAAAAAGGCGGTTGTGTTGTTTAGATGTTTATTAATAGGCAGCAACACTGTTGCAAAGCAACAGTAAAATTCTACAACAAAATAACAGCTACATGTAATCTCGATACATGACACAAATTCATTCGACAGAAAATATTGTTTACACTTATAAATTCAATACAACGATATCTTATTAACTTTAAAAATGACAATTAATCTGTAAATCATTTCATAAGATATAAAACATTCATTATTAATTACCCTACGGGCCTTATCAGCTCGAAAAGATGAATTCGTAGATTCTCGTCTGTTAAATTTGTAAGCATGTGCTTTTTCTTAACTTGTTTCCGGTTAGGCTAATTACACAAAAATCGAAAGAAAATGGTTGCGCTAAAACCCGTAAAATACCAAAAACATAAACAGAACAGACTAAATCGGATAACCCGCGCACCAGACCAGGTAAGGACTGTTATGTTTATCACTCTGTTCATAGGGTTCGTGAAACACACACAACATTAACTGACTATGGTTGATTCATCAGTCTACAAACGTGTAAACAATTATGGCTACTGGCCAATACACAAAACGGAAAACATGTGTTATATCTAAATGATGAACCCAGTATGATACGAACTCCGGATTTCCGGTATAATGGACATAACACTTTTCCCCCCTTAACAGAAATCCGAGATTGCAATATTATCAATTAATAAAAAATAATCAATTACAGTCTTTCAAACTCTAAAACAAATCAGATACATGTACAATATTACATATTTAACACTGTTCAATCAGTCTCTGCGGCCTTCGATGTTCTCGTCGTGGATATCGCGGTTGAGTGTGATTGGTATCATCAGCAACAAAGGAAGGTGTGAAATCGCGGATTATTTCTGGTTCATTAGGCTTTAACACAGAATCCTGAGAAGTCGGAACACAAGTTGACTTGACGGTAGACGGTTTCTCTAGCGGTTCCACTCGACTCTCAAATGGTACACTAACAGGCACAATACTCGTAAACGAATTCTGTTTCCCTGGTTCAGAGTTGTTCAACGCGCACTGAACATCCAATTCACGAATATGGTCGATATGTCGTTTCCACTGCATACCTCTGACATTCACACGATATGTGACAGGTCCAAGTTTACATGTAATTATCCCGTCGATCCACGATACTTTTCCACCACGGTAATCACGTATCATCACTCTTTCACCAGTGTGAAATATTCGAGTCTTCTTAGCAAGATTTGGCGCAGACTTTCTCTGAATTCGGTCTGTCAGATGTGGTTTCACAACATCTATTCTGGTTCGTAATTTTCGATTAAGAAATAACTCCCCTGGTGTTTGACTTGTCGTGGTATGGGGTGTGGTACGATATGATAACAAGAATGCTGCAAGTTTCTGATTTAGTGTTCCGGTCTCGCTTGCCATATTCTTCATTGATTGTTTGAATGTGCGCACCGCTCTCTCTGCCTCTCCATTCGATGCAGGGTGGTACGGCGCCGATCTGATATGCCGCACTCCATTCTCCCTCAGAAAAGTTTCAAATTCCTCGGACACAAACTGCGGTCCATTGTCTGACACAATCTCTATTGGTAGTCCATATGAGGAGAATAGATATCGCAAGGCATTAATAGTACTCTCAGAAGTTGTAGAATTCATCATCACTACATCCATCCATTTGGAATATGCATCCACGATTATCAAAAACATACGCTGCATGAACGGTCCTGCAAAGTCGATATGCACTCGTTTCCAGGGGGGGTTTGGCCATATCCATGGATTCGCTGGAGCTTTAGGTAAGCTTGGTAACTGCATCCTACACGATCCACACTGTGAGACTTTGGTCTCAATGTCCGAGTCCAATCCAGGCCACCATACATGAAGTCTGGCTAATGATTTCATCCTGACCATTCCTGGATGAGAAACATGTAACTCCTCAAGTACATCTTGTCGATACTTTTCAGGGATTATAACTCTGATCCCTCTCAGTAAACATCCATCTTCAATGGTTAACTCACTGCGTACTCTAAAGTATGGTAATAAGTTTATGTCAGGTTGTGAACTTGGCCAACCACTTCTTGTAAACTCCATGACACGAGACAATACAACATCATTCTTTGTTGCAGCGGCCACTTTATCCGCGGTCACAGGTAAGTTTTGGATCTGTATTTTGTGTATAAGTTCTATCTCTTTGTCAAGTTGCGTCCTTGAATCATCCACGAGATTCATCGGAAATCGTGATAGAGTATCCGCATTTTGGTGTTTCCCAGTTGCTCTGTATTTAATGTCAAACTGGTAAGAAGCGAGTTGCAATGCCCAACGCTGTAGTCGAGAAGCAGTCAAGACAGGAATGCCTTTCTTTGGTCCAAATATGGTAGTTAATGGTTTATGGTCGGTGATAAGGGTGAACTTCCGTCCATACAAATATGAATGAAATTTGGTCACTCCAAAGATTATCGCAAGGGCTTCCTTTTCGATTTGCGAATAATTCTTCTCAGCAGCAGAGTGTGGTACAACTGTTCTGATATCACTGAAATAGAGGCACCAGTGTCCAAGTCCATTTCAATAGGTATATCTTCCAGTGTTACAGAAATCTTCATTGCTTTGACTCCTCTGTTTTCCCCTGACAGTGAGAAAATAGGCCAATGTTCATTTTCATTGTCGTCATCTGAACAGTTCTGGTTTTCGGTCACAAAATTTAACTTGGACTTCTTCTTTTGTTTCTTATGTTGCACAGATTTCTTTTTCGAGCACATTTTATGTATATGTCCCATTTCCTGACATGGGTGGCATTTACTGTTCTTGTAAAAGCACTTATCGGGTGTGTGGTTAGTCTTCCCGCACCTGTAGCAAGGTTTACTCTTTACGACACTGACCTTGTGTACAGTTTCATGTCCGTGAGCATCCTGAGCATCAGCCTTTAGTTTGCGGGCTTCGTTCTCAGCAAGTTCCATAGAAATTGATATGTCCACGGCCCTTTTTAACTCTAATTTGTCCTCAGCCAATAATTTCCGCTGGGTTGCCACTGATGAAAGACCACACACTAAACGATCACGTAATGCTTGATTCAAAAACTCACCAAAATCACAATGTTCACTAAGCTTTCTAAGTTCAGCAATATACTGACTAACAGTTTCCTGTTTTCCCTGATTTCTCTGGTAAAATCGAAATCGCTCCGCAATCGCTAGTGGTTTTGGTTTCAAGTGTTGCGCTATCAACGTTTTCAATTCTGCATAGGATTTATCAGATGGCTTTTCCGGGGACGTTAAATTACGAATAAGTCCGTACATCCTCTGACCACATACTGTCAATAATATGGACTTCTTTTTGTCATTATCGTCAATTCCATTGGCCGTTAAAAAATGTTCTAACCTTTCAATGTACTCGTCCCAGTTCATGTCGAACTCGTAGTTCTCTATTTTTCCGTAGACAGCCATAGTACCAGTATTTGCGGTTGTGGTGTTGTAAATCTCGTCGCCAATTGTTATGTTTATCACTCTGTTCATAGGGTTCGTGAAACACACATAACATTAACTGACTATGGTTTATTCATCAGTCTACAAACGTGCAAACAATTATGGCTACTGGCCAATACACAAAACGGAAAACATGTGTTATATCTAAATGATGAACCCAGTATGATACGAACTCCGGATTTCCGGTATAATGGACATAACAAGGACCGCAGTACAAAGCATGTTCATTTAGTGCAGAGCGAGTCCTCAAATGACGATTTCGCATTTGCTGTCTACAAAATCGACACAAATGGCATGATAGACGTTAGCGTGTGCGGAGCTAAGATACAGATGCTAATTGACTCTGGCGCAAGCTGCAATATCATTAACCACAATGTATGGAGCGCAGTTAGAGCTAACGATGAAACAATGTCTCTATCGAGAAGCACAAAACGGATCAAAGGAACCATTACAAATACTAGGAACATTTCGGGCAGTCACCAAGCATGGACTGCGTGAAACATGTGCAGAGTTTGCTGTCGTTGAGGGCGATTATATTTCCTTCCTAGGAAAAGACACAGCGGTAGAGCTAGGAGTTCTTCACATAGGAACCAATGAGCCGGACCTATGCTCCGTTAGGAGTGGACTTGATAGGATTGTTGCCTCAAGAAATTCTGTTTTCGATGGAGTAGGGAAACTCAGAAATTTTCAACTAAAAATTCATATCGACAAGACCGTGACCGCTGTAGTACAACCGTTACGACGCTTACCGTTTAATGTAAGGAAAAGCGTGAACAAAAAGCTAGAGGAGCTGGAGAAGATCAACATAATTGAAAAGGTAAACAGCCCCACGGCCTGGGTGTCGCCACTTGTCGTTGTGCCTAAGAAAAACGAGGAAATTCGAATCTGTGTCGATATGAGACGGGTCAACACTGCTGTTCAACGCGAGCGATACCCGATCCCGACCGTGGATGAAATGCTAGAGGATATGAACGGCAGCACAGTGTTCTCAAAACTCGATTTACGTTGGGGATACCACCAAATAGAGCTAAACGAGGAATCAAGAGAGATAACCACATTTGTGACACATGAGGGCCTTTTATCGCTATAAGCGCGTCATGTTCGGAATTTCCTCAGCATCTGAGATCTACCAAAGAGTAATTGGACAAGTTCATTCAAGGTATCGAAGTAGTAAGGAATTTGTCTGATGACATTATAGTCTACGGGACGGATCAGGCGGATCATAACAAGAAACTTACCATGGTGCTCGACAGACTAGCTGAGAAAGGGCTTACCCTTAACAGAGAAAAATGCGAATTTGGTCTGTCAAAAATTGTATTCCTCGGACATGTGATTTCATCAGAGGGGGTAAAACCTGACCAGGAAAAGATCAAAGCAGTATCGGAGACCAGGACGCCGAGCAACAGTTCCGAAATAAGGGGCTTTCTGGGGCTAGCAAACTACTGCGGCCGTTTTATACCAAATTTCTCAACGATAGCTGCCACGTTACGAGAGCTTACAATGAAGAACACGCACTGGAGTTGGACGAAGACACCAGGATGCGTTTGACATGCTAAAAAGAGCGCTCGTAAGTGCCGAAGCACTAGCATACTACAATCCAAAAACCGAGACAAGGATAATCGTGGATGCAAGTCCCGTTGGACTTGGGGTCATTCTAACACAGAAACAACCGGACGGATTGTTTAAACCCATTGCATATTCAAGTCGAACTGTAACCGACGTTGAGCAAAGATACTCGCAGACCGAGCGCGAGGCTTTAGGTGTCGTGTTTGTTTGTGAAACGTTTCACATGTATATATACGGGCTGGAGTTCGAAATCTGGACGGATCATAAGCCACTGACCTACATTTTTTCTCCGAAGTCGAAACCACCAGCTAGAATCGAGCGATGGATATTGCGACTTCAACCGTATAAATATAAAAATTGTCTATATACCTGGATCAAAGAATGCTGCTGATGCTCTATCCAGATTGAGTCAGAATCAGGCTTGCCGAATACGCCACATTGCAGACGTGTATGCACACTTCATTACAGATAATGCTGTACCGAAAGCACTCACTATTCAAGAAGTTCGTCAGAAAACATCGGAGGACCGAGAGCTCGTCGAGATTATGAGGAGGATCAAAACAGGGCATGGCCGTCTGGATCCTAAAATTCGTACTGTGGAAGCGGAACTTTCAGTCGTCGACGGAATAGTATTACGTGGATCGCGCATCATACTGCCTAAATGCCTTAGGAGACAAACAATACAGTTGGCCCACGAAGGACACCAGGGCATTGTCCGCACGAAACAAAGATTAAGAGAAAAGGTATGGTGGCCAGGCATAGATACAGAAGCCGCGCGATTTGTTAGGACATGTCAACAATGCCAACTTTCGTCGAACAACACTAGGCCCGAACCAGTTCGAACAACGGTATTACCCGACGGGCCACGGCAGGATCTGGCTATAGATCTTATGGGACCGTTTCCTTCTGAGGAATATCTACTAGTCGTTGTAGACTATTTCTCCCGATTTCAGAAAATAGCCATAATGAAAAAGATAACCAGTGAGAAAGATCATTCTTCAACTTGAGAGTATGTTCGTGAGGCACGGTTTACCTTACAGCATGCGAAGCGACAACGGACCACAGTTTGTGTCAGAGGAGTTTAAGGGATACCTGAATTCAAATAGCATTAAACACATTCAGACTACACCATACTGGCCACAAGGAAATGGGGAGGTAGAGAGGCAAAACCGAACACTACTCAAACCATTAAAGCTGCAAACGCAGAAGGCAAGGATTGGAGACAAGAACTACCCAAGTTCTTACTGACAAAGTTTGATGATCATAGGCCTTAAAGTGTCCAAAATATGCCTTCAAATCAATTTGAAAACAAATGCCCGCAATATTAAAGAAAGTAGGTCACCGTGACCTACTTTTGAGTTAACATGATGTGAAGTCCTAAGATGCATCTATTTACAAGATTTGATGATCCTAGTCCTTATGGTAAGCAAAATATAGACATTTTCATTAATTGTAAATTTAGGTCAACTTTGAAGTGACCTTGAGACCACGCCCTTTGCCCCAGGGTCATGCCTTGAACAATTTTTTATCTTCAACATATCCTGATCATTATATGTAAGTTTGGTGAAAATCTGCCTGGTGGTTCTGGAGAAGAAGATTTTTTTTACAACCAGTACTTTTGGTTTTGTTTTCCTGATTATCTCCCCTTGTTTTAGGGTCCCAACCCTCATTTTAATATAACTGGTTGCCCGTGGGCCAAGGATACCCTGTGACGAATTTGACACTGATTGGCCAAGGGGTTCTTGAGTTATGGCCCATATTCTAAAAATTTAACGCAAACCGCACGACGCACACCGCACAAATAGCCATAGCATTAGCTCTTTGAGCCTTTGGCTCAGAAGAGCTAAACATTTCAAACAAGAGAAATTTTGTTTTTCTAGTATATTTATTAGAAAAATAATGATTCTAAAATTTGCTTGTAAAAATATTATGATATTATCGTGATATTTTTGGGGGAAAATCGTGATATATCGCGATCGATACGATTTTTTTTGCGATACCCATCCCTAGAGCCTACGCCTCTGAAGATTCCAACACAATCTTTGATTTATTCACATTGCTAAAAAGTATTACATACACGTTTGTGCATATAATCAAGATACATATAGATATATTTTTATTACTCAATAAACACAATTTACGTTTGTAATTATGTTGATTCTTTTATATTTAAATTGTGTCACATGCATGGAAAAAATCCCAGAATAATGAAAATAGGTTCAATAAAGTTAAGAAAGACCGAAATCGTATTTTTATACGTTCCCTGAAAACGGTCTTTTGTTCGAAAGTCCGCAGTCCGTAGTACGGTGTCAGGTGTATGAGATTCCGAAGATGTTCAGTATTCAAGTAATGAGCCGGACAGGAATGGACAGACGGACATGAAGTCTATAACATAATACGTCCCGTCTTAAGACGGGCGTCTAAAAATACTACTAAAAATCATAAGCAGCAATATCAAATTAGACTTCAGATTCAATCCAATTGTAAATATTTCTTTAATATTAAATTTAAAAAATATATATTAATATTGCCGACTAAATTCAGATTTCTTGCATTCATGTTACTCAGTCATTTATTAATCGTGCTTATTAAAGATGTCTATTTTACGCGATTTAAATTAACGCGGTTAAGTAACAGATCCGTTTCCTAACTTGTCAATTTAAGTCATTGTTAATGTAATCTTACAAAGATCAGGGCAGAGTTTCCATACAAAATTGTCCTGTCGTTTCTAAAACAATGAAACAGGTTTTACTTAATAAATTAAAATCAATACTTTCTGTATCATTGAATATCCATGCAGAAAAATCATACAAGTCATTTGTCTCAGATGTGTTTTTAAATACTAGTGGTGACGTCATAATCATGTGCATTTTCCCGTATTTTCTTCAGAAGTTTTTCAATTGTCCCAGTTGGTGCACATGAACAAAATTTACCCTATATTCGGATAATTTCATCAAATATTGACAAATCGGGAGCACATAAAAATTAAATGTCCTACTTTGTGTCTGTAGTGGCCAAAGTGTTATTCAAGGGGATGTTGGTTGAAGCAAATATTTAAAATATAGGATGCTTCTTTCTCCAACATAAACTCCACACATTCAGTAATGGACAGGGTAGAAATTTTGAATCCATTCAAGGTCTGATGGCTTAGCTGCGTTGAAGCTTTCTGTGAGTCTAAAGGTTCCTTCTGTTGCTTTCAGAAATTTTCCCTCTTGGAGATAACCAAAGAAAATTTTCTCTCAGCCATCGCAATCTTGCCTGGTATTTAATCGGTGTTGGTCCAAGTTCGCATTTCTTTTACTCTTGCATTCAAATTGATTCATCACATTTAATCAAACAAGAATTTGTTCTCAAACCTCATGAAACCACTTTCGGTATCATAATGAAATTCCAGTGAAATCGTCACTAAGCTATTTGGCGGTTAGACTGACTTTCATTCGGCTAAAGGTTGTCAAGCAATCTTGAGCTTCGTGCAGGTGGAAAACAGATTATTCTCACAATGCTCCTTAAAGAGTCTCAGCACATGTAGCCATGATTTGTCTTTTCCATCTTTCCTGGTATTTACGTGGGAATTGGAATTGCTGAAACAATTCCTAGTTGTTTTAACCAAAGCCATAATTGGTGATATTTATATGGCTTCCTTAGGTAGTGTAGAATTAAATTTTTTAAGGGTAGGGTGGGGTCTCAATGGTGGATCAAAGATTTACGTAAGAAAAATAAAGAGAAAATCCCCAAAACAGAAAAGCTATGTTCAGTCTTATTTACCAGTATATCATACTCTGCAAGTCATCGATTGGTATGTCGAAGATTCTACACACAACGACGTGCACGATGAAGGGAAAACGACTTGCAGTGTATGAAATATACAAATAGTAAAAGTCAGTTAAGCTCAAGGTGTGTGGAATCCTCGACATACCAATCGCTTGTATTTGTTAACTGCCTGTCACTACTTGTTCTTGGATCATTTATACTTGTGCTTGTATTTGGACCTCCGAAAAATTTCGATATTTTCGTCAGACCACTTGTATCCTTTTTGCGAAGTTCTTTAACAAAATAATTGGAATTATGAGACATTATTTCAGACAGATTAATGAATAACTCGGTCACATGCCCTCCCTGAACCATGCATGTTGTCTTAGTCTTTCATACGCAACATACAGCACCTCTATGGTGTATATGTATAATTAGTATTGACTGAAGAGTCGGAAGGACGGGAATGTATTGCGTTCAATTATAGATAAGTTGTACGAAAAAGTGCAAGTAATTAAAGAACAACGTAAATACTTTGTTATATTTTAATGGAAAAAAAACAAGAGCAAATTGGGAAAAATCGGAAATTTTCGTATGGGAAAGGTCCGATTGATTGATTGTATACTGTTTAACGTCCCACTCCAGAATATTTCACTGAAATGGAGACGTCACCATTGCCGGTGAAGGGCTGCAAATTTGGGCCTACGCTCGGCACTCAGGGCCATTGAGCAGGGAAGGATCTTTATCGTGCCACACCTGCTGTGACACGGGGCCTCGGTTTATACGGTCTCATCCGAAGGACCGCCCCATTTAGTCGGCTTTTACGTCAAGCAAGGGGGTACTGTTCTAACCCGGATCCCCACGGGGCGGGAAAGGTCCGATATTCGGACCCAAAGTTGGGTGTAGAAAAATCACTGAAAACCTTTATTGTCCCTAGAGGCTTCGACCTATACTTATAAATCTACAATATCCCATAAATTTCACATTCTTTTCATCTTCTCTAGCCCACCCAGTCGTTCTTGAGAATAAATAATGGCTGTTCTTTCAAGTAAATCTTATACAGGTCACTACTAGAGATTTTTCAGACTTATTGGAAGTGTTATTTTCCTGACCACCCTTATCCCATGATCGATATTAAACACTATTAAGAAGTGAACTATATGAGATGTTCCATAGATAAACTGTAGACAGCAAAAAAGAAAAGAAATTCGAGGACTAAAGAAGACAAAATAAGGGTTTTAATTCATTCTAATTCTGCAGGGATGGGCATTAATTTCTATGGGGTTCATAACTACATTCATTATAGACTTCCAAGGGAGATGGACTCTTTGGTTCAACAGATTGGTAGGGCTGGAAGTGTGGTGTTTCTTCACACGAACTCATAATTTATAAATGTTATAAGGAACAATTGAAACGGGTCGAAGAGGAACTAGTACAATAGGCGAAGGATTCGAAGTGTAGACGTGACATTCTGTGTTTTGCATAGGGAAGTAAAATTCAAAAGTTATTCCAATGCATACATGTTGCAATGTTTGTGAAAAACTTTGAACATGTGAATTTGATTAGTATCCTAACACCCTCCCTGCACTTCTGTTTCAATTGCAAGAAGATGTATCTGATCAAATGAGCCGGGATGTTAATATTTTTCTTTTAGGTTCCCACCCTCATTGTTTAAACAAATTCTTGCCTCATACGATCTATCTACAAAAGATGCCGTTTTATGGGGGTGTAAACAATGAGTCAGTTGCCAACACAAAGTACTGCTCCTACGGAGATGCTGTTGTTGAAGAAACTGGTAAATTAAATAATAATTGTTTCCTTTTTCTTCTAGTCTTATTGCATGAATTGCTGCATAAATATTGAAATACACTGTCAATTTACTTTCAAGACAGTAGTAAAAGGCGTAACATTTGAGATCATGTTCATGGGCCCTCAGGTTATATGCTAGAGATCATGTTTGTTACACTTTACTGACCACTCCAGGGTCTGACGTAGACTATAGGTCATTTACACTACGCTCTATGGATCGGATGTCAGACGACCAGACATAGAAATGACCTGAAATTATTCGAGTTAAACGTAAACAAGCCAATAGAATAACTACTGTACAGAAAACACTGATACGACAAAATATATAAGCTTTTTTTTCATAATACAAAGAAAAAGAAAAGAAATGAAAGAAAAACAATTACTGTAATGGCATCACTCATTGTCGGGAAACTTTTCAATATTATTTTAACCCTCGACGCTTTTATAC